AGGATAAATGTGATGATATTTATTTCGCTTTCGAAAGGCCCAAAATTGCATGAAAAGAACATACTGGGAGATTTGCTGGCAACCACATTGTCCAGATATTTTAGTACTTTTATGGGGGTTTTTTTAGCTTTAAAGTGGTATTTCCATTTTGATGTCAATGACGTAAAGACATTTATGGACACACACTGGGGGATGATCCCTTAATACTTTAGTGACTCTGATTCTTACCCTGGAACCAACATGAGGTTAATGTTGGTTATTTCAAGTAAAACGTGTCTATATATAGGACAAATCAACGGATTAACAAAATGTTTAGGGGGCGCTGGTGTAGCAGAGTTGACAGAGCAGGCGCCCCATGTATGAAAGCCACAGTCCTCGTTGCACTGATCCTGATCCTCATGCTGTTTGGTGCATGTCAATCCATCACACTCACATTTCCTCTCTCTATAGCTGTCCCCCCAAACCCCACCGCCCTTCGTCGGGTCATTGCCATCAGACTCTGCTTGAGTTTGTTCTTTCCATGTTGACACACTTAACTAAGAAGATAAATAAAGTCCAGCCTAAAAAATGATACCTACTATTTAAATATATACCAATAACGGCATCGTTACGGTGACAATGCATGACCAGCATACTGATGTCTCTTCGGCACACAATCAGATAGAGATGCAAGCATCATTTTATTCAAATCTTTTTGACTAATGAGAGCCACGAACAGTTTAGGGAAGTCAAAAAGAATATTTGTTAAAATGAACAGGTAATGGTAACAGGAACGTTTTCATATTGGCCCTTATGCAATCTGTATTTTATGAATACCTTCATGTCAACAGCATACTGAAGAACCATCCAACTATCAACAAAAATATCGACCTAATTATGGGATTATAAAAAGGTCAGGTGTGTGAGAAGACTAATTAGCACTCCAACTAACAAAGAAGAAAAGGGACAGTTTGAAACCTTTGAGTTATCTGTCCGCCCTTTGGAGCCCTGCGGTTCACTTCTACCTATTCCTGTTTAGCTCTCCTCTTGACTATTTGATCTTGACATCCATTGAGTCAGGGGCTGACTCTGTTCAGGGCATCATCATTACACACACACTCACACTATACTGTGCCTCCGGCTTTCCATCCCCTGCCTATTGTTTATTTTCTCTCTGGACTGCCCCTCTGCTCCACACAAGGCTGGTTTTTAGATGTGTGAGTCGGCTGTTCATTTAAAACCAAACAGAAGAAAGGGAGATTTTTTGGCTTTGATGCTTTTAATCAATCTAAAGCATTTTTACCTTTTGTGTTGCAAAATAAGTCATTAGACTCCAAGATCACAGAATCAGAAAGACTATAGGCTCTAATCAGTCACCCTCAAACAAACAGCAGTCTATGCTGCCATGTTGACTTGATGTTCATGCTTTAAAGTGGGTTGTCTGACTTATCATGCAAGGGAGGAGTAGCCATGCCAGTGGCACGACTTTAGGGAACGCGGTACGTCATTTGCGATGGGGAAAAAAAACACAAAAATCCAAATATTCCTATTTCATCTCATACATAGACAACTATCAGCCTCAGTTGTACCCAGTGTTTAATGACCATTATTATATATTGGCATATTAAATTCCTCTGCTAAAATGTGAACATTCCAGATGATGTTGCCCCTTTTAATATTAACTCTTTTTTTTATTTTCACCAAGTGTATTCATGTGTGTTCATAGGCCAAGTACAGTTTTTCCAGGTCAACTAAAATCATTGTCAGATCAGTGTTCATCACACAAACTACACAAAGGCTGGAACACATGCGTATATATATTTTAGGGCTCATAACTGAGGGCTGCTGTCTGTTAAATAGAATATGTCCCCAAAAGTGTTTATGCAAACAGCGAATTCACAGTCAGTGTGTTTGCACTTAAAGGAAACAGCTTTAAAAGTCTGTGAACACATCCTGATAAAACAACAGCGCACTCGTAAATTAAACTCACCCTGCTGAGGCTTCTTTTAGCAGCTCGCAGAGTGTAAAACAGAAAAACCTCGCTAAATGGATCAGAGAGTGCCTGGATTTGAGTTTTAGTCATTCTACCGAATTCTAATGTGCCTCTGAAACCAGATATGCATAATCATGTGCATAATGATTAATTACAGCAGAGTTCTGCAGAGTGCTTTTCAATACAAGAGAAATTGTGTGCAAGTGGCATCTCTATTGATCACAGAACTCTGAGGATTGTAACCTGTAAACAGTAATGTTATAAATCCAGGAGGAAAATATATATATATTTTTTTTTAAAGTGCCTTATAGTAGGGGGAACAGTGTACACACATCAGTCAACAAGCAAATGTTACATTCACTTCCTCAAGTCAGGATTTCTCTTTTGTCCCTACATGTATCTTCTGACATGTTCCATATGATTTCTGCTGCAGAAAACCTTTTTCATGCATGCACAATCATTTATTCATTCATCATAATGCAAGCAGCCACAGTAAGCATGCTGTGCAGACATTATACATATATGATGTTATTGTTCCCACCTGCTCCGTCACAATATCTACTATTCAACAAGAGGTAGAGAGCGAGTGTCACCTGTCATCATCTCACCTCTGGGTGTCGATCGAGGGAATGGGGAATGGGGGAGATAATGCAACTGTTACAAAACATGGTTTTGATGTACGTTTATGTAATGATTTATTTATTTATGAAGTACAGAAAGTGCAGCCAAGTGTGACCTGACACATTTTATGCCTCCATGTGAGGAGAATGGGAGGAGCTTTCAGGACGGCTGGATTTTCACAGTCAGTGATCAATGCGTGCGTATGAATGTTCAGTGAAGGCAAACTGTAGCTGGTTCATCAAATATTAATGTTTAAATTATGAGTTTTTTTAACCATATGGTTCCGTGTTATTGGTGGCAATTGGCAACTTCAGTCCAGCTGTTTAGAAATAACAGAAATATCCTAATCTATAAAATGTGATATTTGGTGCAAATGTTCATATCCACAGAGAAGTTAAGATCCTCACACTTTATATTCAGCACCATTAGCAGGTTCATGTTTTCACCAAATCACTACATGTGCTGATGTGCTGATATTATTGGTCCAAAGAAGATGAATTGTAAAGTTTTTTTTATCTTGTGCCAGCATCAGCATCAACATTTTCATTCATAAAATTCAGTGTTTTTTTCCTAATAGCTTCGGCTGCACTTTGTATTATCATTGTCCAAATAAGTAAGCATGTTAACAAGTTCAACACAGATGATAAACAACAGCATGATAGAACAGTTATACTGTTAGTGGGTAGTTGTTGAGATAAAGCTAAAGCACCACTGTGTCAAAGGGTGGTTTAATGCTTGAACAGAAGTCGTTTGTACGATACTAAATTGTTAATATTCGTTCCCTAAAGGCCGCACTCAAAGGCAGAGGGGAAAGCCGGACATCATGAGACAGGCGAGAAATGTAAAGTTGTATAATTAGATCATCTTCAGACAGTCTCCAGTCTCCTCTGTTATGCACATCTGCAATGCATCCGTGAAACATGTTTGGATTTATCTCCAAAACTGTAAGAACTCTAAGGTTTATTTTTGGAGTGGGGAGAGAGAGAGTGGGGGACGACATGTGGGAAAGGAGCCACAGGTCAGATTTGAACCCAGGCTGCCGGCTTTGAGGCCTATAGCCTCTGTACATGAGGCACGCAAGCTAACCACTGGGCACCCCTATATGATCATTTCTATTATTGCCGTCATTTTTATTGCCCCAACAATTTGTTTAAAATTGTTAAAAACAGACACACACCAACAAAAGCTTTGAATTCCTTGAATAAGGTTCTCACTAAAATGTTTTTTTTGCACCTTCAAGAAGAGAGAGAAACACAAGGACATGACAGTCCTTGGCTGCTTCTTCATCTCCACACAGCTGGCAAATCACAGTGTTGGATTCTCAGTCGTGAAGATGTGTGTTGTGGGTTAGGGGGTGTCCAAAAGCTACTTACCATCTGACAAGCAGTTCTGAAGAACCATTCTGGCTTCTTTTGTACACCTGAAGCAACCATCTACTTTCAAAGAAACATCTACTCCCTGTTTGTTAGTTTGAGTCGTACTGTTTGGACATATATTGTTTGTGACTTGTATTTTCATTTCTCAGATAGATGTTTGTTTCTTCAACCAGCACTCTTTTGATAGATGGCTGAAATGTTTAAACTGCCCTTGGCAGGACTCAAACTCTTTCTCAACAATTACTTGGTTGGTTTGTTCTTTCTAATCATAGATATGTCATTTTATGCCATAACGCTGAACAATAGCCTGCTCCGAGCGTCAGCAGCTACGTTCTCTCTCTCTCTCTCTCTCTCTCTCTCTCTCTCTCTCTCTCTCTGTCTTTCTATGTCTCATTATCTTTGCATCCTTGTTCCTCCCTGCTCTCTCACTCTCTCACTCCTTCTCCTGCATTGGTTGTATGACTCAAACGCTCTAATGCAATATTAAACTCTGACAAAGAAAAGCTCCATATTGGTTTGTGTCTCTTTTTTATTGTCATGCACTTGTGCTGTTCAAAACAAGTCATTTGTGCTTCTGTTGATACACAGCTTCAATCTTAACATCTGCGTCCTGGCTTTCCTTTAAAAATTAAGGCCACATTCTTCCAGGCTGGGATGCTTGGTCTCCATGGTAACATCAAGTCCGTTATGACTGCCATAAAGAGCACGCGAGGGAATGTTAAATCATCAGTCTGCTGGTCTCGGTTACTGGGTTGATTGTGTAACTCAAAAAAACGCACAGGAAGACCTCCTTGTCCCCTCTCCTCTGTTTTACTCTTCCTCTCTGTTTTTACTCTTCCGTCACACTTCTCGTTTCTCTTTTACTACCTCTCTCTTATTCACACATATTCACACGCAGTCTCTCACACATCTCAGATACCGAATCAAACACTGACCCCCAGTGGAAAACCATTGTTAAGAAGCATCTTTTTTTTCTGTTCTGCAGCCATGCATGTGTATGTGAAAGAAAGTCTCTCTCCTGTGACTTCCAGGTCTTCACTCGTTACGGGAAGTGTTACACGTTTAACGCCGGCGAGGATGGACGCCCTCCGCTCATCACTACCAAGGGAGGTATGGGTAATGGCCTGGAGCTCATGCTGGACATTCAGCAGGATGAATACCTGCCTGTCTGGGGAGAAACAGGTGAGGGGAGACATCATTGACATCATGTTGTTCTCTCGACAGTGTGCCTGGGCAGGTGTGTGTTTTGTGTGAGTGTGTGAAACATTTTGTTTTAGTGTCTGGGTTTATGTGTGTATTTATTTAGGTGTGGGGCATTGACCCCATGTTTGTTTCACTACTGTAGATGAGACATCATTTGAAGCTGGAATCAAGGTTCAGATCCACAGTCAGGACGAGCCCTCCTTCATTGACCAGTTCGGGTTCGGAGTGGCGCCCGGGTTTCAGACTTTTGTGTCCTGCCAGGAACAGAGGGTAAAAACTGGAAAACTATGAAACACTTTTGTGCTTGATGCATTTTTTTCAGAGCCCATGAATTCGTATTTCCCTTCACAATTTGACATACATTAGCAACATTCTGAGGTAGTTTGTTAAAACAATAACTTCTAGTAATTTAGTGTTCAACACCAAAAGAGCCTGCTAAATCTGCGTCATTGCAGTTGTCTTTGCTTGGCTTGGCTTGATTAGATTTGGATGACAGTAGCAACATAACCATCGTTTTCATATCTACATTTAAATGCTAAATTCTGACTGTTGGGAGCAGAGTTCACTGTTTCTTACAGAAATGATGTGGCTGTATCGAGCTGATTGTGTCTGGTTGTAGCTTTTATTGCATAATACAAAAAAACATGTATAAATAAATACTTTAGCATGTCATAATTTATTTTTATTAGTTTAAAACTTACTTTGATCTGCTGTCCTGAGATGAAAAGTGTTTGTATAGCTAACTCCTAAAAAATGAAGCCAATGCAGAAGTGCAGTTCCTCCAGTGTCCACTTTAGGCTGACTGCACAAGCTAAGGATTTGGTATTTTCCCAAATTCAATATGATGTGGGGTTTTTTTCCTATTCGACTTATTTTGAACATTATAGATGTTTTTAGATTTTTTTCTACATCTCAGAGAGTAACTTTATGAATACATGGAGATTATTACTGCTAAGACTGATGAAATGTATGAGAAGAAGCTAAAAGTTGTTAGAAACCATTAATATCCTTTTAAAAACATGTAAAATCACATGTCAATTCATTCTTATTTAGAAAAAAATTATTTAATTTAGGTGTTGAAAACTTGACTAACCTGGCAGCCTCCTGCTTTTGGTCATGTGAACCTAAAGGACATGATGCACTTATTACAAAGTGTTTGTCCTACTTCTTTAACTGTGATGTATTATATAAACCCTGTGTTTGTTTTAGCTGATCTATCTCCCCCCACCCTGGGGAGACTGTAAGGTGACGGCCATGGACTCGGACTTCTTTGATAGCTACAGCATCACAGCCTGTCGCATCGACTGTGAAACACGCTACCTGGTGGACAACTGCAACTGTCGCATGGTGCACATGCCTGGTAGGGAAATGCGCTTACTCTGTGTTGAACCAGAGTTACCACAGTGGTGCCGCAGCGACAAAAAAAAAGGACTGTGGGGTCAATTTGAAAGTAGGGAAGCAAAGAGCAGAGTATACTAATGTGAGTGTGTGTTGTTTCGACTGCAGGAGATGCACCGTACTGCACCCCCGAGCTGTACAAAGAATGTGCTGACCCTGCTCTGGGTAAGGAAAAGGCTTCGTCCATGTTTGGTCTGAATGTTTAAGGAACTGATGCAACACACACACACACACACACACACACACGCACACGCACACACACACAAAAGCGCTCACAGACAATCTCATGACATCTGAAAGCCACAGCCGCACTGATCTGTTATAAAGGTCACACTGTGCTCTGGTTTTCTTCTCTGCAGATTTCCTGGTGGAGAGAGACAATGACTTCTGTGTGTGTGAGACGCCGTGCAACATGACCAGATACAGTAAAGAGCTGTCCTTCGTCAAGATCCCCAGCAAGGCCTCGGCCAAATATCTCGCAAAGAAATACAACAAATCTGAGCAGTACATAAAGTGAGCATCAGCGGCTGTTATTGTTTGCTTGACGTAAAATACAAATGCTGAAGTGGACGAATGAAGTTTCTGACTGACTTGCAGTGCATTAGACAGTTTTTTGTTTTAATAAGAGAACTGTCAATTGCAAGAACAATTACATAAATAATTACATTTCTAATTCATGACACTATTTAAAAGAAAACATTACTAATGTGACTCTATTGCCAAAAAGAAAGTTACACAAGTCGAAGAATATTGACTAACCAAAGCTCATTTAAAATGGGGCAAAGTCCACATTTAGATGAAACTGAAGCTCAAAAGTGATGAAACGTTTTATTACTCATCATAAATTATGAGCAGATGTCAGGATAATATACAACCTCTCACAATTACTGAAACTTTATTACAAACATGTTTTATGGTATTGATTCATCGTCTGATTAAAAAAACTAACCTCCACTGGTTGTTGAAGTTTATTTTTGAGGAGTATGTCAGTCGATCAATAAACCCTGTATAATTGCATACAACTATATGATATAGTGTTATAAAGCAAAGATCTATTGCTTCTTTGTGTGTAATGGTGTGGCTTAACAGAAAGTTTGTTCTTTTTGTCTTTACAGGGAGAATCTCCTGGTCTTAGACATCTTTTTTGAAGCTCTAAACTATGAGACTATAGAACAGAAGAAGGCTTATGAGGTGGCTGGACTTTTAGGTACAGATTTATTGAGCTCCAATATATCCTGTATGATGGGTTATCTCTCTTGTCTTTATTGTATCCGATGTTTTGTTTCACCTTCTGTCTTCTTGTTATTACAGGTGATATCGGTGGACAGATGGGACTTTTTATTGGGGCAAGCATACTCACCATACTGGAGCTGTTTGACTATCTTTATGAGGTGAGAGCAATGCTTAAAGCTGAGAGCTTTTGCTGCCGCTGAGTACACTCAGGTCATGTTTTTGGGTTTTTTTTTGGCAACCTTAGGGGAGCCACAAATTGTGTGTTTGTGTATAAGAGGAAATCATACACACAGATAATTGACCCTGTTTCTTGCAAATATTGGTTCAATACAATTAATCTTGAACTGAAAATATTTAGCGAGGGTCAACAAAGAAAGAGAAAGAAATATTTTATATTGGAAACAATAAAAAAAATGCTGTTGCACAGTGGACATGCAACAAGCCACAGTGAGCTGTGTTAAATAGAAAATGTTTGCCTAATGGAAAAAGAACAAGTTTTTCAACAGCTAATCTAAAACACCACAGTCACAGTGTGACATTGATTTATCGATGCAACAAAAGCGATCATAAATGGGTTTTCACATGCACCCCCCTTTAAAAGGTGCTTTTTTACTTTCCTATTATTTCCAAAGGTACTTTAATAATCAGGATGATGTACATTTATACAGTAAATAAAAAAGCCTCCAAAATGTTCCCTAAACCAGGCGTCTTGGTGAGCTCATGTTTCTTTTAAGGGATGCAGTGGCCCCGCTGTATTTCTAACCCAGGTTGTATTATTGTTGGTAAAGGGAAAGGCTTTTTAAAGGCATTTAGAGCAATATTGTAAATACAACGTACAGAAGATATTCTGTTATAGTAAAGAACAGGTAGACTTCTAATTGCTGCATGGACATTTTTCTGGTTTCTAATCATCATATTTTCTTTGATCATTGTTCAGCAGGAAAAGTTGTAGATTATTTTGACCTGGTCTGTCTTTGTATCCTCTCAGGTGATAAAGTACAAGTTGTGTCGCTGTTCTGATCGACAGCAACAGCATGACAGCAACAACGACCAGGGCACGGTGCTGAGCTTGGACGACGTCAAGTGTCACGTCAGTAACTTTCACTGAGCGTCTGCAGCCAGAAGTAGGGTGCTCGTCCCTCTCTTGTCTCTGAGCAGTTTCATGGACTTTGCTCGCTGCAGAACTTTCAGTCTTGCAGGAGCAACAGATCATAATGCCCGAACTTTGCCTTTGGGTGAGTTATTGAACATTGAGGGGAATTTAACATGTGGCTGAGGTCAGGAGAAGCCACGCAGAGAGCTGGACAGCAGAGACAAGTGATCTACATGACGTGAGGAATTAAAAAATATCAGAATAACTGCATGGCCATCTTTACAACAGCTTCAAGACACAGTAACAGAGACAGTAAATGAGGGGCATTTGGGGAGGTTCATATGTGTTGAGTTAATCAGCGTTTGATATCCTGCTGTGTGGTTTTGTTTATGATCTATTAGTTTAAAGAAAACTTTCATTCATTACATTTATTTGACAAATTTGCTTTAACTTAAAACAATATTTATATTTGAGGTGTTTTTCAGATTTCTGCATGCGAGTAATACACTTTTTCTTTTCTTCTTCATTTTGTCCGCTGAGATCTACCTTTATAAATCTTTATGACTTTTTGGCCTGTTTTCACTTTCTTTCAATTTTTGATTTATGTTATCCAAACATTGTCGTACGACAGTCTTCCCTGGGCATTTTTACAACATGCATACTGTTCTACCTCATCTTTGCAGGGTGACAGTGCCCTGAAGAGTCCATGAGCCAGGCCAATTAATATTGAAAAGGTTATTTCCATGTATAGAGATGACATAACAGTTCTTGATCTGTGACATTTCACAGAAGAAAAATACAGGTGTTAATTATAATTAATGATGGTTGAACTTTTTTTAGCTGCTTGTTAGAAGTTCCTGCTATTTTCAGTACTGACAGCGACACCTGAACACCACAGAACTCTGGTTTGATGTTTTAAGTCCCAACTTTGTTATTCCTGCTGTTACAGGTCACAATGTCTCCCATAGTAAGGCCTCAATCAGGGGAACGTTTTAAATCCAACTACAATAATGTGTAGTGTTACTGTTTAATGTACCAGAACTACAAGAAGGAGGGACATAAAGCTCTTTAAAACTAAACTTGTACCATGGATTACACAGCAATATCCAACAAAAGTTGTAAACATTAGCTTACATTAGCCACGATGGCTACATGTCATATAGGGTGCAGCTGTAGCAGCAAAACACCCGAGTGTTCAGGGTTAGACTTAAAGTTGGACTATGCGACATAAGTAAAATAACTTTCTGGCAGTAAATGAAAACATTGTTTCCACACTTATATCTGAAGTAAAATAAGAAGCTACAGCCAGCAGCCAATTAGCTTAGAGTAGCACCAAGACTATTTATTTGATCTGTACACAAACCAAAGTTTGAAAGGGAAATTTGGCAGAGGCAACATGGCTCCAGAAAGACTCAAAATATAGCCAAGAAAATCTGTATATTATCCAAGCTGTTAAGAAGTCAGAATGCTCTAGCTAGAGTACAGCAAATTGTACACAAAAATACCTGTTTGCAAGGGTATATGGTAATACAGGAAACGCAAATGGTATACACAGCTGTTAGAAGGCTATCTTTCTCTCAATAAACAATAGGAAAACATTCTATAAATTTTAAATAACATTACATTGACTTATATCATACATCCAGGAATACATTTCCGCCACTTCTAAAAATCATCAGATAACACGCTCTGAAATAGGAGCTTTTACTAAATGAGAGAATTTTACTTAAAAGGTTTCAAATACATGGCTCCGTCCTCCTCTGAGATAAATGAAGTATATCTTCTTCTTGAAAATACCAATAAGCCCTCTGTAAAAACAGAACATGTTTTTATTCTTTGATTGGCTCTGGTAAGAGCTAGTAAGGCTCGCTGTTCAAATAGCCTTTATGCTAAGCTAAGCTAATCAAACTGGTTGCTGGATGTAGACTTGTATGTAACGGTCAAAGTGAGTGTGATATCAACTTACCTTACGCCCTTATACATGGCAAAAACAAAGATTTATCAAAATGTTGAACTTTTAAACGAATTTGAGTCATGAGAAATGACACTACATGAGATACAAAAAAAAAAGAAATGTGGAGGGATAGGCAGCAACAAACATCAATGTAGACAACCCCTAATGAGAACAAAGCGGCTCTTCTCCATGTCAACTGGTGCTACATGCTGTATCATTTGCCTTCAGAATTCCTTTATCAATGACAATCATACTGTTACAATACAAAAGAATACAAAACAGGCTGAAATAAATGCTAACATGGCAAGACAGAATTAACGAGTATAAATATGTTGAATGTGTATTTGCCATCTTCTAGGGCTCTAAGTTGCATGTACCTGTAATGTAGCACTTGAACAGTATATGTCTTAAACTTGGTCCAATGTTGAACAGTTTATCCTCACATCAGACTGCGGTTTGTCTCAACATCTGTCTCTGTGTTTGTTTTTATATTGTGAGCATGTCTTTTTTTTATGGTGTGCTCATTAAAAACCTAATGTTGGACAATTCGAGAACACGGCCCTCATATCCAAAATACTGATTCTGTTATAGGCTCTTCACATGTAAGCACCTTGGTGAAGTTGCGCAGTAAATTCCCACTTTGCCTCTTCACATGTAATGTGCATGTTTCAGGGTTTGTCTCATCTGCTCTCTGTTCTGATGCTGTTTACAAAAATCCAACCGTTTTATTATTTTCTGTTTGAGTAATCTACTCCTTCTTAATCCTATTCTCAACAGGACATGGAAGTTGTACAGTACAGCCTGTAGTTGTGTTGTGTTACTATCAAGCACAATCATACAATTAATTGTAATGTAATGTAAATATTGCCAAAAATGTTATTGTGTTAGAATAGGCTGATCTGTCCGATGTTATTCTTGTACAAGGTAATATATTAGACTAGTTATGTGTCTAAACTTCTGTACATATGAAAAGCATATTTATCAGATGATATTAAAATGTGAGGCTATTTCTTACTTGTATGTACTATGAAAGCTTATTATGTATATATCAGTGAGTCAAAATGAAATGCTGGGTATCTGTTTTCCAGCCGCCCTTGCATGAGGTCAGGCATTTTCAAAAGTTCTCTCGCCGCCATGCTTTCAGGTTTTGGTTATATTATTGCCTTCATTTTTTATTTAAATTTTCAATATGAAACGATGATAATTTTAGTCCAGTATTGTAGGCCTATAGATTGATATTTGTTTATATCTTAAAGCAGTTGTTATATTAAAGATTAAATGCTACCTTTACATAACGTTTATTCAGCTAATGTGTTCTGTGTCATCATTTGTACACCACGTTTTGGAAAAAAAAGGGGAAGCACAAAATTATAGGCCACAGTTTAGCAGGACAGCCTGACCTTTACATATTATTAGTTGTATTATTACCAATAGTGATTTCCACTTGCTCACCTTTTTGAGTCATTGGATCAAAGAGGCTCTAAAGAAGGCAATATTAGACTGTCTACCACTTTCCTTCTGTCCTAAACAAATATTGCTATGACTTTTTGGACTTGAGTTAAATGTGTCAAAACGTATTTGATGGGTTATTGCTCAAAAGGTTGTACACCTTTGGGTGATTAGTAATTACTTTGAAGCCTTAATGTTTTTTTTAGTGCCATCATAAATTCAAAAGTGCTAAAACCCTGAACTAAGATGATGAGCACTATTACATACTAAAGATCAGCATGATATGTTTTTTTCATGTGAGCATGATGAAGTTAACACACTAGGTTAAGAAGTGATGTACCTAATTTTAGTACAATTATGCAGAGCTGGTTTGAAATATGGTTGTATTCTATTCAGACATTCTGATGCAGGATGCCATAGTGAGGGCAACTTTGTTAGAATGCATTTCTAAAAATAAATATATATGATTTGATAGTCACAAATATGACCTTAGACAAGACAGATGAACCATAAAACTTATACATCGCTTACTACTGAGTAAATGTAGTATAGTTTTCAAAAGAGAAAACACTTGTCGCTTATTGAAATATGATTTTATTGTTGAAGTATTTGTGAAAACTGTGGCTCTAAACCCTCTCAGTAAGCTGGGTTTTCTCAGTGTGTGCTTGCTCACAGAAAGCAGAGGGCTGAATCTAATGTTTTGTTCCTTCCTACATCTCCTCTTCTGATAATTGTTCCAGCTCTTACGCAATAAGGTCCTCTTTTGTTTGAGCCCTCCAGACCAAATAATTGCTCCCACAGTGATCTTTCTGTGGTCACTCAAGTGACTTTTAATGTGTTATTCTTTTGCACACTGGGAAAAAAATCAAACACAGAGTATATACTATGGCTGTAGTGTGGGGAATATATAGTTGTTTTTTAATCATTTTTTAAATTACAATTTAAGACCATGTTTATTAAATCAGTTTGATTTTTATCTTAAGTAATTATAGAAGGAGCTTTGCTAGAGCTCTCTGTCAGACAGGTACGATGACAACATAGTGGTAAACACTAGCACTAATGAAAAGTGAGGAGTTCTTTTCCAGTTTAAGCTCTTCAGTGTTTTGGAAATGATAGGGTTTACGGCTTCTATCTGTCTGCTATTAACTTTGTCCAAAGATAGAAGGAGACCCCCAGGGCTGTATGCTTGGTCCCCTATCTTTTAACCCTCTCACTCTCTTCAGCAACCAATAACACTGAGAACTCTGGATGACACCACTGACATTGGCTTTATTGAAAACTTTCTGAGGAAATGAAAATAAGCAGACTTGTAGACAGAGAAACAAACTTCTAAAGCATCCTGACTCGAGGCTACTTGAAACATCAGAAAAAGGAATGAGATTTTCTCAGGAAACGAGGGCTCTGCAGCAAGTGGTATAAAACGTGGTCTGCTCTGTAAAATCAGATAAATCAGTTCTGCCTTTTGAAAGCCCAAAAGATACCAACCAAGCCACAGCCTTTTCACTCGGCTGCTGTTTAACAAACGATGCACAAGTATCTGCTGTTGTACCACCAGACTACAGAGCAGCTTATTTCCTTTGGCTGCAAGACTCCTCAACTCCCCTCCTCTTTCATGTTTCACCTTGTTATGCACATTACCACACTTTTGCCTTTGCAGTACCTCATTTCAACAACTACCTTGGGTTAAACAGTTTCCCAAGTTATTGCACGTATTTGAACAATTTCTAATATATTATATTAACAAACACATATCTTTTTGTCTTTTGTGTAAACACAATGACGTTTCCATTTTAGTTTACAATTGTATTTTACTGTGCTATCATGTCTTGCATAAGAAAGCTTAACCTTGAACCCTGAACCTTGATAATGTGGCTGTCTAAAGCCTGTTGGGTTTCAGTGTAGGGTTTGAGTGTGTCATTGTTGACTGTCATTTGTTTCTTGCAGAAATGTTACCTTTTTTGTCAGTTTGGGCTGACACAAAAATGATTTGCCACAGAAGTAAGATTTTAGTAATAAGTATTTTATTAAGCACACAACAGAATAGATGTACCCATTATATGTCAGTGAGTAAATTCTGAATCTGTCATACAACCAGAAACTAATGCTAAATGTGTTAGAATACATTAAAGGTAAATATTTCCCTCTCAAACTTTGAAGCATTAAATCACATCATTTTAAAATAATCTACTCTTAGTATAGTACTAGTTAACTTCACAGATGACTTTATGTTGTTGAGAGTGAAAACACCATTCTCAGTAATTCTAGGAGCCAATTTACGCAGAAGAAAAACAAAAAATTTAGAACTAATTATTTTTTGTTATATTATTCTTTAAAAGGTCACAGTCTTAAGGTTAAAACTGGAACACAATGGTAGAGTTACAAAGAAGTGTTGTAAGATTAGTGATGACCTTTAGCATAAATTATGATTTTAAAGTGAAAACTAGGCATGAGAAATTAATCATTATTAAGATATGTGTATTCACAATAAACAAATTGCAAAAGTCTGAATATTGCAATGAGTTAAAAAAAAATGTTGTAAGTAATGCTTTGTCTCTCAGCATGCGTACATTTTACCTATTGGATGGAGGCCTGGGTTTGATACAGTCAGATGAAGCTCGAGATAGCTATCTCCTACCCTCAGATTAACTGGTGCCAGCCTTTTCAGTTTATTTTGGCTTTAAGAGACGTGTAAAACATGAAGAACAAGAGATATTAAACTCTTAGGTATGGCTAATATGCGTCTCTTATTTTATTGCTTATTTATCACACTCTGTTGTTATCACCATACTGAACAATGTTAATAATCTCATACTGTTCTCATATTGTCCAGGCCCAGTAAAAAAAAAAAAAAAAACATCTACTTAGCCTGCCTCATATTTATTTTATTTACATGTTGTGGTTTTAACTTTGTTGAAATGACCTTCTCTTTCAGCACATTCCTGTTATAAGACTAAATAAAAACAGTGCAGATTAGCTCAGGGAATGTATGCTGACTTTACAAACAGTCAGAGATTTTGGTGTAAACAGACGAGCTATAATATAATTTGGTAAAGTTTGAGTGTAAAAATGCCTATCACTGTAGCAAAATGCTTGCTTCAGTATTATGATTGAAATGTATGTACTTGAATAATCACAGTAAAAGCATTCTGAATCCTTTCTAGAATTTAACATTAGGCTATTAAAGATACATAACTGGATTATTATTGATGTCTTCATTTGAGAGGCAGGTTATGGTGCGGCTTGTTGTACACACTTTATTAAATCATGACACATGAAGAACAGGGGTTATATAAGGTCACAAATAAAATCTGAAAACATACACTCTATTCTACACCTGACTAAATACACGTTTGGTTCATTAATGGTTTTTTTTATGTAGCCTAATATATCTTATTGAAATGTCTTCACTCTAGTATTGCTTCTTTAAAAATATCAGGCACTGTCAATAAAAATGCATCATGGATTTGGATTTAGGTGTGATGCAAAAAAATGCTTACTACCCAGTGTTGAAGGCTCTCTTCTTGTGTTTGGCTTATTTATGTTTTACACCATCAAATGTTAAACAATGTAAGTCAGCAGAGTTCACTTCTGTCCGACTGACTTTGAGCCTACTAACCTCTCTCTTGTCCCGTCTGCTGGATGAATGAATGACCTGTCCCCAGTGCCTCGCTTTAGTGGGCGGGCCAGTGTCCCCCCCCCCCTCCCCACCCCCACCTCCCTCAGACAGGCCAATAAAATCGGAGAGCAGAGGCTTGCAGCTCGGTCGGTGCGTTGCATAACGTACTGCAGGTCCTCGGTCAGCCTTAGTCCCACTCCACACATCGGCTTACCTCTTCACAATGGCAGCTCCCAAGAAAGTCTGCATCATTGGCTCTGGAAATTGGCAAGTTAATGCGTTGAACTGTCTGAATGTTCAATAATGGCTCAGTTTGTAGTGGCCTTACGTTTTCATCTCCGTGTGTTTTTTAAAAGAATTGCGTGTCTAACCGGTGTCTAGTTGCTAGCCAGCTAATGTTAACTAGCTGTCTTTTTTCAAAGGTAACGATAAAACTAAATCACTTGTTCGATGCATTAACCTGCTCGCGTGTTTCCTACATGCAGCCCTTGGTCGGAGTCCCATCGCGTTGCTAGGAAACAGTCTGAGTAATATACGGAAACCGTGCCACATGTCAGTCACGACTCCTTCGGTTTTTGTGGTTCATGTTAGCAGCTTTTGTAAGCAACATGTTGCCTCACTCACTTGCAGCCCCGTAAAGTAGAAATAATTAGTTATTTAACAGAAGTGTTATCGCAAAATTGCAATGAATATGGCTTCACAATTCTGCACGCAAAAAAAAAAAAAAGCTTGTAGATACCAAAAACGCCCTTACGCCATTCATTGGTGGAATAGTTCAAATCTGTGGAGATGACTTCAAAAATCACAGCGTGTTTAAACATTAGTTCAGTCCGTGCAGGAGTGTTTAAAGGCATCTTTACATCTGGTTTATTAGATTCATTTCATCTGTTAAAACCCCTGTTTTAGTCAAGACTGTTGTTTTAGGGTTGAGGGTATTATTGTAAAAGAAGTCAAAGAAGTTAATTGATCCTTACATTGAGTTTTATTGCCCAATTGATTTATCTGTCTAGAGTTTTTAGAATTTTTTTTTTTTCTTCTAATGATGAACCCCTTTTTGAAACATGATTACAGACTAAACCAATACAATCAGATGAAATGTAAGTGGAGATTGGCCTGGAGTTGTCCCCAGGAGGAATAGACTACTGCTGCAATGGATGATTGTTTTATTGGATGAAGTTCTGATTATAGCAGCAATCACAAAATCATGGTGAAAACAAAATCTAAAAAAATTCCAAATTGGTTTCTTCAAATTGCTTTTTGTTCAACTCAAACTCCAATTGTTTTTAAAATGACAAAGAAAAGCATTTTTTTTCTTTTTCATGAAAAGTTACTTACAGGATTAAATGATGGTCAAAATAGGCTGTGATAAATGTTAATTTCAAGTAAATCCATAAATAAATTCCTCATGGCATAGAAACTTTAAGTAGAGAACACATGACCTGCTATAGTAATGACCTGTTGATCTGACCAGCAGTCATGTGATTGCTGGCCAGCACTGTTTTTTTTTTTTTTTTCTTTTGCCATGTTACTTTAAATGAACACAGATCGAAATGCATCATGAATTCTACCATGTTCTCCCTTGTATATTAAACAATTGCCTGTTACTGTGTGTGACGCAGGGGTTCTGCCATCGCCAAGATAGTCGGTGCCAATGCTGCGCAAAAGTCAACATTCGACAGCACCGTAAAAATGTGGGTGTTTGAGGAGACGGTGAACGGGCGCAAACTGACTGAAATAATTAACAACGATCATGAAAATGTCAAGTACCTTCCTGGACACAAGCTACCCGCCAATGTGGTGAGAAACTGTCGACTTTTTAAAAGCCTTAACGGTTATTTAGTATCTCTGTAGCTGAGGGAAATGTTGAATGCTTGAGTCCTTTTTGCATTACATGTGCAGACTTATCATGCTTTACCAAATTCATCTGTTCTTGTTTATTTAAATAAGCTTTCAATCAGTTTCTATGTTGTGAGTGTAACCTCTGCCATCAGTTTTATTAATGTTGTCAAACCAGCGCTGATGTAGGTTGTGTCAGATGTTTGTCTCTTACGTCATCATCCTCGTCCTCCACAGCTGGCTGTTCCAGACCTGGTTGACTCATCCAGTGATGCAGACATTCTGGTGTTTGTGATCCCTCACCAGTTTGTTGGGAGAGTGTGCGACACCATAAAGGGCAAGATAAAGAGTGACGCAATTGGAATATCCCTTATCAAGGTTTGACTTTTGCTCTTTTTGCTGCATTGTCATGATCTCGTGATCTTCTGATTTTGTTACCTTGTTGTCTTTGGTTTAGGTGTGATGCTAGATTGCCAGTTTTGCAATGTGGTCTTTGACCCGCATACTAGCTCGCTTGGGCCTAATGTAAACCTGTGTGTGTGTATCTCTGTACCACCAGGGTGTAGACGAGGGGCCTGATGGACTGAAACTCATCTCTGATGTGATCCAGGAGAAGCTCGGTATCACCATGAGTGTGCTGATGGGGGCAAACATTGCCAATGAGGTTGCTGACGAGAAGTTTTGTGAGACCACAATTGGTTAGTCTGATTTAAAGGCTGCATGTTTTTTTTTTTTCTTCCTGCTTTAAAAAAAAAAAAACCTTGCACTTTAATCTTGATTTAAATTTAGACTAAGCAGTTCTGGCCTTCAAACAGGAAGTGTGATTGTCATTTCAGTTTGTATTCTGCAGCTTTCTGCACTGTCAGCATGGAGGGGAAAGTTTAATCCGCTTGCAGTCGCTGTGTGAATGACACAGTGGGGTGATTCAGTATGACATTTGCTTGATGTGAACAACATGCTTCATGGGATTTACCATTATTACACTGCGGGAACACTAACCTGTGCTTGACTGGATTGCATTTTGTTGGATCAGTGCTGTTAAATTTCTTTGGAGCATTACAGCTAAACTCTAAAATATAAAACATGTTTTTAACCAAAAGATAAAATCAACCAGTTTTTTTTTTTTTTTTTTTCATTTCAAGGTTGTAAGAACAAAAACCACGGGGCCCTCCTTAAGGAACTCATGCAGACCAACAACTTCAGAGTAACTGTAGTAGAGGAGTACGATGTGGTGGAAATCTGTGGAGCCCTGAAGGTGAGCAACATAGCAAAACAAAGCTGCATGCAGCAGAATTAAAGTTTATGCCTGATGCATCGTACACTGGATCTAATCAAGGTTTAGAATCAATGAAAACTTAAGAAGGACCACTACACCACTAGCAGAGTAAACAAAGTACACAACTGATGCACTTAGATTCCATTACTGCATTCCTGTCAAATCTATAATGCATCTTTGTAGAGGGTAAAACACTTTACTATATGAACAATATTATAATTCAAATAGAAGAGGGCAGGTTGTATGTAGTACAGACCCTCAGCATTAACACTACAGGGTACATCGGCCCCTTGGTTATATGACACTCCTAATGTTTAAGCATAAAGCAAGGGACTTACAATATTTTCAGGCAAAGAGTTGAGTATTTTTGTCAATTCTGCATCATCCTCATATCTTGAATTTACAGACATTTCATTTTACGAATATATTAGGGATGGACATTTTTCCTGTTTTTCTGCTCTGTTTTACATGATGGTCTAGAATTTGAGAGTGTACCAACATTCAGTTCAATAATAATAGGGGCTGGAATAATATGCTTTAAGGGAGGCACTTTGATAAGTTCTCAGGACATTAAAAAGTTGAGCATGGCCGTTAAATCCATCGTCCATTAGACCGACTTTGAATGCTCTTTCAATTGAATCATCCCTCAGTACCTTTCCAAAGCATCCACGTGTCTTCTTGTATCTGCAGTCTTTGCTGACATGTCTTATCCTCCTTCAGAACATTGTTGCAGTCGGGGCAGGCTTCTGTGATGGTCTAGGCTTCGGGGACAACACCAAGGCAGCAGTGATCAGGCTGGGTCTGATGGAGATGATTGCTTTTGCCCGCATCTTCTGCACTGCCGGGCCCGTGTCCTCCGCGACCTTCCTGGAAAGCTGCGGTGTGGCTGACCTCATAACAACCTGCTATGGAGGCCGCAACCGCAAAGTAGCTGAAGCTTTCGCGAAGACAGGGAAGGTGAGAGCTTAGATTTTTCGAATACTTTCCGACATTTATTTAGCGCTTATTTTATGAAGCGAGTCAGATTCTGCAGCCAACCTGATAGTTGGATAGGTTTGTTGGTGGATACTGTGTCCTGGGCTTCAGGATAAAATCAGTGCTGTTGGTTTCAAAAAGAGAGTCTGTGTAGGCGACTAAGATGAATGTTAAACTGATGACTCATCAGCTTTGTTAAAGAGCATAACAGACTTAGTCCATAAACACCCCCATTAGAACTTAGATTTACAAAAGATTACAAAACATAACCGTTTTACTACACCCTAGTGATTATGTTAAAAATAGATTTACTACTCTTAATAACTTGTGTCGTTAACCTCAGACTGAAAATATGTTAGAATTCAAACAAATAGAGCAAAAATAATTTCAATTATCCAACTAGATTCATTCAGGTTTTAATTGATAACTTTAAGCTTCTTACACCAGATAACATTTCTGATAAAGTGGCATACTTATTAATCTTGGGTGTTGAATACACACTGTAGGCTGAAATACACACACACACACACACACACGCACGAACAGGATCCTATTGACATGCACTGATGGAGAGATGTAAGAGTGAGGGAGCTGCCCACAGTGAGCGCTCCTGAGCTGGTGGGGGGTTGGGGGTTTGTGACTTGCTCAAGGGCACCTCGGCAGTGCTCAATTAGTGAACTGGCACCTCTCCAGCTACCGGACCAATTTCCAGATTTTGTCTGCCTAGGGTTTAAACAGGCGACCCTCCGATTCACAATCCAAGTCCTAACTAACTGAGCTTGCCCCTACCTTCAGTATATTCAAAATATATATATATACAAATAGACAGCTTCTTTTTATCTACAATCCCTATAACCGTTTCAACCCACTTGGTGGACAAACTACCGTCACACAAAACACACTGATAGAAAAGTACTGGTAACCATTGAGGCCAACATTATGAAGTCCAGCTTCACTGTTATTGTTACAAGCCTAATTCATCAAAATATTAGGCTAGCTTACTCCATATCAAACTCATTAAAACTTCAACAAATGTCTTCAGAAAATGATTAATAGTACTGCTAAACCATTATGACCCAAACCAGGGTATTTTTTTACTGCTCACATACAGCAAAGATTTGTTAAAGACAATCTGCAGAAATTCTATCTCCCTATTCGATCTCTTTCTACAGAGGAAACCACTGAACCTGTAGCTCGACTGTATAATAGAGTTCATACAATACAGCCTTGCCTCTTACACTCATCACTTCTCTGCACTTTCTGCTGCAACACCATGACTTTTCAGAATTATACAAACAGTCACGCTATTAAGTTTTACCGTCAGATCCATAGCAATAACTCGTCTCCAGCACTTAGCGCTCTATTTCCAGATCCAACACAAATCAGGAACACATCAATAGACCACTCTCGGCTTACAAAAACATCAGTCAGAGATAACTTTTTCACACAGACACTAAAATGTGGAATGAGGTCCCATATTACATCAGGACAACATCCCCAGTTATGCATTTTAAACCGGCATTCAAAAACCACCTGATGAACGGAAAAGATTGCATTCACTGATTTAACTAATGTTAATTTAATCTACCCCTACCCCCTGATTGTCTGTGTTTCTGTTAAATCTGATGTATTTTTTTTTTTTTTTTAATCTCTTTTGGTTGTCTTTTGTCTGATGTGATCTTTTTTTTTTTTTTTATGTGCTGCAGAACAGGAAGGTGCTGTTAACCAGTTTTAACTGTGTCAGGCTAACTAACTCTGAAATGTAACTTTGAATCCTGTCCTTTGTCATAAATTTTTTTAATGAAATCATTAACATTTTCACATAAAACAGTGTAACATTGTTTTCTAACGTACTTATTGTTTGAGTTAGGTCTGCTTTTGCCACATTTTAATATTCTCTCTGGCCCATGATTCACTCTTCAGCCAAGTTTTATGAAAATCTGGACTGAAATGTTTTTTTTTATTTCCGCAATACTGCTATCAAACTAAACAGCCCTAAAAAACAACCGTTAAGGTACAGCATTGAATTAGTTTGGACGGTATCGACAGTGGGAGCTTGGTTATGAACCACTTATTCTTCTTTTAAAGGGTTAACATTCTGCATGTCCTCTTTTTGCCCAGTCCATTGAGGAGCTGGAGAAGGAGATGCTGAACGGTCAGAAGCTGCAGGGACCAGCCACAGCAGCTGAGGTGTATCTCATCCTCAAGCACAAAAACCTAGTTGACAAGTAAGTAAAGCAAGCAACACAAACACAGGTAGTTTTCATGAGCACTGGTTAGAAAAGAACTCAAACAAAGCATCATGTTTGCTCTCAGTAATCCCTCCTCCTTCTTTTAGGTTCCCGCTGTTCAATGCAGTGTATCAGATCTGCTATCAGGGCCATCCAGTCACAGAGTTCATAAGCTGTTTGCAGAACCATCCAGAGCACATGTAAAACCTGCAGACAGACCCTGTGCCTTCTAAGTGAAGAACGTAACTATTACTCACCTGTTACCTGTCAGAAATAGATTGGGGATGACCAGCAGCTCCACAGGTGTCATGCAAACTGAACGGCTCCAGCCAGTGAGTAAAACAGGTTGCATAACATTTTGTGTTTGTTAAGCTCTAGTTTGAAATGTTTGTCCTCTTAACATTCAGTTTCTGATGTCATTTAAGTGCTTTCTTTTATTTCTTAACCCATTCAAACTTGAAGGATAACCTATGGGAGAGTATGTTCTGGTCAGATTGCTCTTCTTTTTTTTTTTTTTTTTTGCCTTGATTTCTTTTGTTTTTGATGAAATCTGAATGCATGGTGTCACTTCCAAGCTGGAAACACTACACAAATCCACATTAAATAAGTTGGTCCACTTTGTTTTAATCAACACTTAACTGCTGTTCTGTTAATACCTTTTTATTTTTTTTAACTTCGTCATGCATTCAGATTTCGGTAGGGCCAACCACTCGGGGCAAAGACCTGCCGAAAGCCTTCCGTAGAGGAAATAATCGATTATCTCATGTTTGTGTTGCCGTCCGTTTGATGCCTGTCCATTATGATTCTAGTGTGATACCTCACTTTTGTTGTCTTTGTATGATCATAAGTGTCCTATATAATTCACTCAGATATTTCCTGTCTTTTACTGTTTGTTAACATACTGACGATTGCGCAGTAACTGTTTTTAACTGAAGAAATGAAAGTGCCTTAGTATGCACGGTTGCTACGTATGGCCATCGTCTCTTTTTGGGTGTCGAACCAAAGACTTGACTAATTAATGTCCGTCCACTTTGTCAACATGTGTATGTGAATAAATTGATTCATCAAGTCTTGATTAATTTTCTACTCTCGCACTAGAGAGACATGAATCATTATCTTGATCACAGTGCAGCTCAGAGAGGGAGTCTTAACTGAAACTGCTAGATTGTGTGAACTGCCTTTTTATAGATGGCTATGTAGACATTCAGCTTCACAAATCTCTTTATATTTACAGATCACAACATTTAGACATGGATGTTAATGTTGGATTTTGAATTAAACAACAGATTATTGTCAAATGCTTTAGAGTATAGTATAAGGATAGACTGATATATTTGGCAGAATGTAAAGAATATGTTTACATAAAAAATGTAATTTATATCCTGAGGGTGGTCTCTCATTTAATTATGTAAATAATGTGAATCTTTACCCTGTTGACAATAGTCGGGATTCTGGACCAATCACACGCAAGACCTGAGAGACAACTTGAAATACCATCAAAACCCAACATTCTGGTTTATATGTCAACATGTTTTTGACTAAATGATTTAAGTAAACACCAACGCAAATGAGGCATTAAGACTAAGCAGTAAAGAAGTGTACATTTTGTAGAAGTAATTGATGCATAAGAGCTTAAAAATTTTGAAATCTATTTGAAATATTTTAGGTTGATTTAAAGGGAAAATTAAATTTCCCTCAAATCTAAAGGCAGTAACAACAATGGGGAACACAGGAGGGTCTGAAATGTAGTTTTGTTTTCCCACTGTGCCACACCTCCGACATTCCTTTGTGGATTGTTTTGTATTGATAGAACGCTACAGAGAGAGACGGAAAATGAGTGGAGGAGAGAGCGGAGTAGATATGAATCAAAAGGGCCAACCTGCAGCTGATGCGTTAAGGACTGTAGCCTCTGTGTACTGGGCGCTTGAACGTCCCACGTAAATGAAACAAGTCTTTTTTCCTACCACGAGGGTAAACCATAAAAAAACTTTCTAGATCTGTTGTGTTAAGATGGCTCCAGTGATACCTGATGGGGAAAATATTGAATAGATTGTACAAGATCATTCATTCTGGAATATTTTAAACTGAGGTTAGCAGATCTTTTTGTATGCATCATAATAAGAAAGCACATGTAACAAACCTTTACCCTGTGTTTGAGAAGTGGCAGGCATTAAATCCATTTGCTGTGGATATGACCCTTGGACACAGGAACCTGGGAGATCACATATTTAGTCCTTGGGAACACACTATCCAAAGAACATAGAAATGACCCCTTACAAGCTAACTCGACCCATCGTTATATACAAACCATCCGCCCCAAAGCATGAAACACACAAAAAGAGAAGCAAAACTATTTTATTACAAGTTGTGGAAATGTAGCTAGCTTTACATGTGAGAGTGCAGTTAACAGCAGTAAACATACAGTACATCATTACAAAGACATTCACTGTTTAGTCGTGGATGCTGCTGCTGTCTGGATATTTTGGAAAATATAAGATGAACATCAGCAACTTAAATAAACTCATAAAGTAATGTAAACAAAAAGGGAACAAAGCTCAAAGGGAGGCTACTAAACAAGACAGAGTTTGTTTTGCTAGTCCGTAAGGACACTTAAGACTATCGCAGTATGAATGCTTCAAAGAGAAACTGCCTCTACCTCTCTATGTAAACCACAGTCTATTTATCTCAGACAGCCATGACCTGTTTGGACCCAGACACAGGAGGCAGAGAGGGTATGCAAGTTATAAGATATAAGCATGACTAATAAATGCGATAGAAGCATAATGGTATTACAATCATGAGTGAAAGATGGTGAACAATCAGGCATGTGTTCCTCTTCTCTGCTGCGTTCACTGACTGTCTTTGGTACAATACTTTCACTGGGTGAGCATGACTCAGCGTTTGAGTTGTTGTTGTTCTGCTCTGTTCTTGTTACTCTTTTTTTTATTCCATTTTCCATCCTGACAAATTAAGATCTATTTCATATAGACATGGAGCTACATCATCAGTTATGTTCAAAGAAATATCCCCGTTCATATTTTTTTTGTCCCTCTAAAACTGACATGGTCCCACATCTCAAATAAAACATGGAAATCTGCTGGGAATGTATGAATTTATTAAAAATAAAAAATAAAGTATTATAGGCCCATTTAAGACATCAGCATAAATTACTAATGCTATTTTAAATAGCCGATGAATTGGCTCCAAGAAATAATTCTATACCTGAAATATAGACAATTTTCTTTAAATAGCTAAATGCTACCTCAATGGATCCACATGGTGGAAACGCCTCTTTCCTTAAAGACACTGCAGTGTTGGAACATGACACAGCTCACTTACCCTGCTGCAAACTCTCCTACTCTCCTACATCTACTCCTCCCTCATCTCTTCACAGTTCACAGTCTGTGAGGGTTGACCCATTTATAAGTGCCTTCATAGCGAAATCCAACCCTCTTCGCGAGGTCGTCCGCCTCGGTTGGGCCACGGCTGAGAAGAAAGAAAAAACAATCACAATCCACACCCTGCATTTAGTTTTTTTTCAATAGGGCGGAGTGAACTACATCTCTTACCTTCCATATTTGTAAGGAATGGGTTTGGGCTTCTCTCGCTCTATCTGATGAAGAAGAGGCGTAAAGATCCTCCATGCTTCCCTTAGTTCATCACTGTGAAAACAAACAGTTCAACATGTGATAGAAGACATTATGATCCCTTATGTAGTGTAAAAACATGAAGAGTTCTTTATGATCAAGGTTTTCCTTTAATGCTGAGACAGAAAGAAAGATGCACTATGTCGCCATCTAGTGGAATTAACCGTTAGCTCACATAAAGCAACATTGCAGCTTGCTTTACTACACAGGTTTAAGCTTACAAAAAGTAACATGAGAAGATAGTAGAGGGAAACAAAGACACACCTGCGTACAAAGTGCATCTGACTGCCACAGAAAACATCCAGGATGAGGCGTTCGTAAGCGTCTGGGAGCTTCACATCCTGAACAGGGGAGACAAATTTCACACAATTATTTTTTTAAACTAGACAAATACTGCCAAGACACGGAGATGAAAGTAATAGGGAGCCAGGGGGAGAAACAAAACTTAGCATTGCTTCAAATTTCCTTGTTACTTTACAGAAAAAAATCCTCCAAAATATTTGAGACTTTTTTTCTCCTAAATTTGTGACCTTCAGTTTAGAGTTTCAGATTTTTAATCACAAATTTTAAACAAAATAATTTCACAGAAATTATTTTCTTTTTTTCTTCTTGTAAAACTACTACCTTGGTCTCATTATTAAAAATAATATTTGCATTGATTTTCTACATTCATCTTGGAAACTGATTTTTTTTTTTTTCCTTTTCATATTACATCACATGGTCTTTTCTTTGCCATATTCAGTTTGCCTTTTGGAACCTGCCTTGTATCTACTCTTGTAGGTGAGGTCCAGCTCAGTTTCCTCTGGGCTAAAGTAGACGCCGGGTTTCTTGCTCATCATTTTGGCGTAGATGGCCTCGTTCGGCTGCACGCGCATCACCAGCTCATTCCTGCGACACGTATCTCCGAATATGTCCCCCGGTACGTCTGTGAACTGCAGCCGCACCTCGGCTTTCCTCTCATTCAGAGCTTTTCCACAGCGGAGGATGAAAGGACACCTGAGGACGGATGATCATTACAAAGGGCTGTGGATAATGGGAGATCAGTAGGACTTTGTTCTGTGAAGGGCACATTTGTTTACCATCCCAGCGCTCGTTGTGCACGTAGAGCACAGCGGCGGTGAAGGTGGCCTGAGTCGATCCTTTTGGAACTGTAGGATCATCGAGGTAACCCAGTTTTGCGTCCCCCTCACCCTCTGGATCCCCCACATACTGGCCGAGAACAACGTCCGACATTGATGCTGGAGCGATGCACTTCAACACCTTCACCTACAAGAGAGCATGAGAGAACAGGTGTCCTCTGTTTACACGTTCAGAATAATAAACCATCGTATGAACACTCTCTCTCTTCACTTGAAGCATTTGATGAGTGTGTTGAGCCCATACCTTTTCATCTCTGACATCATCCGAGCTGGTGGATGCTGGTTTCTCCATGGCAACCAGGCAGAGCATCTGGAGTAAGTGGTTCTGCATGACATCGCTGATGAAGACAAAGGGAACAGGTGGTCAAACAAACAACAGAGAAAAGGATGTGATGGCTGTGATCACATTCATTTAAATCAAAACTGATCCTGTGTTGGTGCTTGTTAAATTAAAGAGGGAACAGTTTATGTATGCTAACTAAATGTAGAATTCATGAGCAGTATGTCGACAACTAAGAAATGGTAAAAATAATGTTTCTTTTTAATGTGCCATCTCACCGGATGATGCCAAAATCATCAAAGTATCCTCCTCGTCCCTGAGTGCCAAAGGGTTCTTTAAAGGTGAGAACCACACAGGCCACACTGTCCCTGTTCCAGATTGGCCCGAAGATACGATTCCCAAACCTGAGAAAGAACACACACGTAATCTCATCATGTGCACAGCGTGAACAGACGGCTGTTCATGACAACATGTAGACACATTTGTCCAATGCTCTGGATGCTGACTGGTGTTTTCTTTGCCGGATTTTCACTGAAAATTTTCTGAACCACAAACCAGCTGAAAATGAGGCATGCACAATCTTTAAAACAATTACTTTGCAAGAAATCACATTGAATGACCATATACTGTACATCTGTCCCCAGCTTTACCTCATTGTAAAAGAAAAAACAGAAAAACACAAATTTAATGTTTATTTGGTTAAAGAATGTGTCATTAATGAAAGGCTATTAATAGAAACAAGGTTGAAGCGAGTGCTGCACTGGGTCAGAAAATGGAGAGGAATCAGGTGCTCTTCAAGAACAGGGGACAGAAGTCAAAGAGCTTATAAATAAATGACTGTCCTGATGACAAATAAAGTTCGTTGTGAAGAAATGGCAGTCTTAGCTTAAAGTCCGAGGCACTCTGATGCAATATATGCATCAGAGTCATTTATTTAAAGGCTATTAAAATCTTGCATATCTTGTCTTGTAAATTTTTTTTATCCTAAATTATTTTTCTCCCG